CTGAGATGATATATTGTGCTGCTCTACGTGAAATAAAAAGTAAATAACAGCTAACGAACTGAAGAATATCAGAAAGTCTAAAGACATATAAACTACTAAGCAAACACAAAACCTACTGAATTTGGTGAACCGTACATAATATATTATCAAACAGTATTTATGTTTATTCATTTCAGTATCACATTAAATTCCTGCTTCATTCATATTAAGACTCTGTGACGTCATTTCCTCCCCAGAAGAAAGACAGACGGCCACAGATTCTGTCAAATCACTTCTGTGAGACACGCCGTGGAACAACAGATCTGTTTGTACAAGTGATTCTCACAGAGCGCTCGGCGTCGCTCTCCTTGTGTACAAAAGGAGGAGAGACTGTGTGAAAATGTGTGGTGTTATCCCTCCTGCGACGCTGACAGCAGGTTTTTCACCCTGTCATCAAGCGGGCCTCTTCACAAAAAGTATGCTTTTGCTATCAGACGCGGTCGGTCGGCCGACGAGATGCACCAGCGAGGTGGTCTGGAGCGCGCTGACACATTACAGTAAGTGCCGGTGATTCGGCTTCTAAAGGGCACCTGAGGCTCGACCACTCTGCTGTGAAACCTGTATGAACTCACGCCTGAACCTGACTGTTGTACTGGAACGAGCACCTTTTTTCTTTTAGCGGCTGAAAGAGCACGACTCAGAAATCCTTGGAACATACAGACTGCAGCGGAGGAAAGATGTAAAGTTGCTCTGTGACAACAACTACTGATAGTTTTCTGATCATAGCAGAGGGTCTTATCAGCTTTTAACTACATTAGAGGGTTTGTGAAATTAGGTCTCTAATGGAAGTCAAGCTTTTTACTGTGTTAGCATGTTCATCTGTAAGCTTGAAGAGCAAAATAAGCGCAATATGATGAGAGTCTCACAAAGATGGATTCAGATTTCTGGGGTTTCACACACAACAAAACTAGCAAACTGCCCCCGACCACTGGCACTGCTTCTTCTTCACTAAACATGTTTAGTGCAGCCTGGTTACTCTGATATTACAAATTGTCATTGTGCAGCAGTTTTATAGTGGCGTATGTGAGCTGGTGTGCTCGAGCTGCAGCGAGCAGGGAGGAGTTGACGGAGAGAGATGCTTGGGCTTCATAGATCTGCACATTCCAGAGGAAGCAACGGCGTCGAGTTACAACAAATCAGGAGGAGATTCTTCTTATTGGGTAAAAAAACATCAAAATTCTAGTTTTTAGGGGTTAAATTAACAACTGATTAGAGGCCTTAAGGCAGGATAATGTTTTTAAAACCTTCCCAAAATGCTAAATTACCACAGGACGTGTAGCTCACATACAAGCTGTGATAAAAGAGTGATAATGCTGAATATGAATGGAATGTGGGTGTGCTCATGAAATGCTGGGAATTCAGCATGAAAATGTGGAAGTATGGCAACGGACGCACATCCTGACGCAATGTGCCAAAAGAGGAAGATGCTCCAAGCCGATGCCTCCCACTTATATCTGCCTGCATTAAGAAAACGAACGGGCCTTTTGTGAAACTCTTTAACTGTCATGACGACTGCTGCAAAAACGTGATTCTTCTGATCCACCAGGTGGTGGCGCCAAAGCCTGAAAACATCCTCCGAGTCCTCCCTTCAGTGTGTGACTTCATTCTACCTGCCAGGCGCTTAACACTGTTGATCATGACTAGTCACAATATGGAATAATTAATAAAACTTAATGCTAGCATTCACACACTTCTGTAATTTAAAAGCAGGTTCAGCTGTTTGTGTTGTCGTTATCATCTGAGGGAGGGTTGCACCATGATCCCGACAGTTAATCTTAGTCATTCACATGCCGTTAATCATTTGAGGTGTGTTTCAATCCTAGTTCATATCCAAGGTCACCGGCAGCCTGCTGTGTTTTTTCAGGACGGTCAGGGTCAGTCCAGGGCGTCGGTTGTAGTATAAGTGTAAGAACCGGCTGTAATGCAAACATAAGCACATTCCAGCAGTGAAAGCGAAGGCCGGGGCCGGAGAGTTCAGTTTAAATATTGTTTTTACACTGAAGCATAAAAGACTGATAAGACCGACGCCTTCCCCTCGTCCTCCTGCTTTTATTCAAACATGTCAGAGTAAACGTGGGTGGGCCTTTAATCGGAGGGGTTGGAAACGTATCAAAGCAGTTTGGACAAAGTGCTGTAATGTTCTCCTTTGGTCTTTGTGTTCCTGCCTTCTGTGAGAGGGTCACTTAACGAGCAAATTCAGGTCTGATAGAATATATTCAGGGTGTAAAATGAAGATTTTTTTTTTTTATTCTAAGGAGGATTCCATCTGTAGCTCAAACTGTGTGGTTGCGTTACAGAGGCCTTTAATCTGTGTCTCATTTATCTCACCTACTTGTCTGACGCTAAACTAGAACCTTTAATGACATGATGAGGGCAGACAGTCCTCAGATTTACTGCTTCAATCAGACACAATAAACCGAGTTGTCCCGGTGCTGTCTTATCTTATCAGTTTTGACACACTTTGACATATTCTTGAGGACTCCAGTAACTTAGACAATAAGAGGAGAGCGTTTGTGTCCTTAACCGTCCACACACTGACGCTCTGCTGTTGGATGTAACATCGGTGCGTCTATGCTAGAATTTCATCCCGCCCGCTTCCTCCGCAGCATCCTGTCAGCTCGATTAAGCGTAGCCGAATATGCCGCCTCGGGTCAAGCTGACCTGCTCTCCGGCTAGTGCACCTGAATATCTGGATCAATTATACTCTTTGAATAACAAAGCTCAGCGATAAACAAGGGGAACGTTCAAGCTGTAACAAAAATGTGATGTGTAGGCCTCAAGTTAAACCTGTTGGACCTCAGTTTATGTGGTTAAAGACTTATTGGTACCATCATCCACACGGTGTATGTGATCGATTAAATAAAATGCAAGATGGGACCTGAGAAACTTTGTTAAGCTTTACAGGAGCCAAAGCTGAACTAATCCACAATATTTAAAATGTGTGGTTGATGTTTTAGCTGCACCCAAAAGTCACTGTTTCCTTTTTATCAGAGAAAAGGTAGAAAGCGCTGCAATAAATCAAATTTCCTTGCGTGGCATAGAAAAGAAAGAAGCAGTGAGGAGATACGGGCACAGCGAACTGATATCGCCTCAGTGGTTTATTCAGCAACGCTTTGTCCTCGACTGCTCTTCTTGTGTTTCGTGGTTTTCGCCGGCCTGCGTCGCCTCTGACAAACTATCGCCCGACACACTTATGCTTCAACCCTCCTGTTGTGTTAATTTCTCATGAACACTGATCCTGGGTCAGTCTGACTCGGGGCGCTTTAATTATCCAAAAGTGTTCAAAACAAACAAACAAAAAATCCCAATAACATAGTTTATATTTCACTGTGAACTCCATCACTAATTATTTCAATCAGTATTTAGTGCAGCGGCTGTTTTTCATTGGAAAGACCTCCATGTACAATACATTCACTTTACATGACACTGATTTTTCACAAATGTTATTCTACATTTTCATATTTTTTCTTTCTATAGATTGATGTTGATAAATTAACACAAGACTCCTCTTCTGTCCACTTGTCCCACACTGTCCAGCTTGTCTCTCCATTATCGAGTCGGATGGAGCAAATATAAACAGTCTACAGACTAATTGTTGTACCATCTACAGCCCCACATGTCTCTGCATCCCTCAGACTGTCGGTTGATTCATCCCTACAGACCCCAGCCAGGATCACGACCCCCAAATATGCGTGTAAATGCATTTCACCCGGCGCCTTCCTTCTAGATGAGTCATTTCGTGAATGATTTTCTGTACTGAGTTGGACTTGACGTCGGTCACACGGGTCCTACTGGGCCCTGGTCGGCATCGTCTTTGTTTCCTGCAGACGGTTTTTCCTGACGCATGCTCGGGGATGAAGACCAACCGTATTTCACCTTTTTTTTTTTTTTTTACGTGAATGTCTTTCTTGGAGGAATATGATCAGCAGTTTCCTCATTTGGTTCAGAATCAGAATCGTCAGACTCAGACTTCATGATGGTCTTCAGACACGTCCTCCTCTGGTTCACCGTCATGATAAAAGACGCTTTAAGTATGAACTATTAACCATTTTATTTCCACACGGTAAACTACTCAGATCGATCCCAACAGTTAAACCACCTGTCTCACGCTGTTTGACCAGGAACCTCCTACGATGTCTGGCTACAGGATTTGACCGGTGGGTCCTTCAGGGCAGCTTCTCTATAGATACCGTTTGTTCTGGTGCATCTCGTGAAAGCTTGATAACATTCTGATCTAAGAAATTTGGAGGCTGGGTCAATGTCTGGGACACTTCACCAGGTTCCTCAAGTCATTCCTGAGCAGTTGTTGTGGTGTGAGGGCAGATTTTCCTGCAGGGAAGGCACACTTCCTCCACAATTATGTTTAGGACGGTGGTGCAAGTTAAAGAAACAACATCCTGAATGCAAGGAAACAAGGAAAATCTATGCTGCTCACTTCACCTGCGTAGCTGCAACTGCAAACGCTTGTGCAGAGTTTTTGCTGTAGCCACATGGTGGTGCCAAAACTACAGGGATCCCCAGATACCAGCCCTTTCTATGGTTGAAAATCCTCTTGCCTTTGTAGAGCTTTCAGCACCATGTTTGACCTTTTGCTGTCTGAGTGAACTGTGGTCAGGGCGGCTGCATTAGCCAGCTCCACAATAACTGTACAAAATGAAATAAATAAAAAGTCAGCACGGCTGTGTTTGGACGGTGGAGGTGGTTAGTGGCTAAATATTTAAAAATAAATGTAAACATTCATTGTAGACATCTCACAAGGAGCAGAGCAGCATCTGCTCTCATGTGGATCATCATGTCTGATTTTCCATTCATCACCTCCAAGTAAGAATTAAAACAACAGCAGCTAAATCATTTGTCCAGCAGGATTACACGTCTGCGCGTTGAAAGGGTTAAGACGTGGACTTGTGGATGAACAAAACCGGATAACAGTGACATCAAGCCTCTTAGCCCACTTGTCTCCTAGATGGAGAGAGTAAGACTTCAAAGGTAGATCTTTAGGTCTGACTCTCTGAACGGATGCGCGCCGACCTTGGAGTCTCCAGACGCGCAGCGGAGGATTTTGCGCACTGAAATCAAGTCGAGCTGAAGAGCGGACACAGCGAGCGCACTGCTGGCTGACTGACTGCAGCCCTGGCACTGGGATACGGGCTCACTTGGCCGTGTTTCACCGCACGCACCGACGTCTTATTAGTAACATTTCTCCGGATTAAGTAGGGGAAAATAGAGTCCGCAGTTTATTTCGGTTGGGCTGGATTGGAAACTTAGAGGAGTGTTGTTTCAACTGAGCCGCTGCTTGTAGACGCTGCATCTGGTTTGTAGAGCAAACCAAGAGTCCCAGCTGTTCGGGGGAAATTCCCTCCACATCCTGAGAGACGGAGACGTTTTGAGAGGATTTTAGGACTCTTTGGATTGATCGAGGATGCGTCCAGCCGCCTAGAGCCAACTCAGTGAGGTATTGCTTTTGCACAACGGTAAGAAAAAGTTCCTTTATTTTCTCACAACGATAAGAATCAAATGTCCCATCTGCGGGGTCCTTCTGCATTTACCACGAGGCTCGGAAGTGATTTAACGGCGTCAATATTCCCACTTTTCTTTATCTCGCAGGTGACCACAGCGATGCTTCAGCGGCATGTGCGCCTTCCCCTCTCCAAATCTTCCAGAGAGGATTTAATCGCCGCTCATCTTGAATAAGTCGAGAAGTCGTTGAAGATGAGTGCTCTGCAAACATTCTTGTTTTTTGTCCTCCTGCACCAGGTGAGGCGTGACATGATTGAATGCGAGGAGGCAAAATTAGGCTCAAATATGTCTGTGGCTGGAAAAAAAAAAACACAGCAAAGTGGAGGCAAAGTGGTTTTAATGAGGCTTCTGGGCTCTGACAAGGAATCGGTTTGTCTCTCACAAAGTTAAACGCTTCAGCTTCTTTGGTTTATATTTAAATATTTAGTTTTATTGTAGATCTGCTGTCCATCACACATGACCAAATGGAATACATTTCTGGCAGTGAAGCGCCACTTGGCACAGGGAGGAGCAGCACATTTGTTTGCCGACCACAGCTCCTCATTCAGGGATAAGCTTGTTTTAATGTTATCTGAATCTGCAGGCACTGAAATACTTTTTTTAATTTCAACAAACCAGATTTTTTTTTTCTTCTTCTTCACATTTCTTAAATGTTCCCTGAACACATTTCTAAATGTGCTGATTTAATTCTCAGCCTCATGAAAAAATATTTCACTGACAGAAATAATAGACTGCTGATTGCATTTCATTTTTCAGGACAAATTCCAGCTTTTGCCACCTTTTGCCATTATGTGTGTATTATTTCATATGCAGTTAATTAAAAGCATCTAAACTTCTTTTTCTTATTTAACACTTTCCAGGGACCTTCAGTTTTCTCATTAAAAAAAAAAAGAAAAGAAAAGAATTTACATAAATTCCTCATTATGCAAAATGCTTATTATAGCTGCTGTTTAATTAACTGAAAAATATGATTATTGTAGCTAAAAAATTAGAACAATTATTTATGGGCTATAAGCTCCTGCTGTGCAGGTTTACAAAGTTTATAGTTTATTCCTGCTGCAGAAACACAATCTGCTGTTTGATCTCGTGCACATTGGTGGTTAACGGTCATTATCATTTATTTTGCTTCCAGACGCGAGCAGGGTTTGACCTCCGTGTTGAACTCCAGACGTCTGTTATGTGTCACAGTAAGAACGAGGCCACAGTTTGACAAAAAGACGATTGAGAACAAAAGATGAAAATTGCAGAGCGACTAGATTTCCAGAGCTGGTGCCGTTCCTCCTCCTGCTTGATAACTTCTGCCATGATGACGTCCTTTTGAATGCACAGGAATTTATTTGGTATTTACCAGAGACTGATTGTGTTAAGCTTCTGGATGTAATCTTTCTCTGGTCTAATTCTGTTTTTTTATTACAATAAGCACTCCAAAGAAAGATCACGAGCTTTAGGGAAATATGAAGGTCTTATTTTTCCTCCACTCTTTGTGAACATCTGCTGGTGTTGTCCTCGGCTGGTCGTTGCGTGTTTTATCGTCATCATCCTTACTTTACACACTCTTGCCATGATCAGACCTGAGCAGAAAATGCCATGTGATTGAAGAAGTTCTTCACATCTGTGCTATCCTCAAAGAGGGCTTCTTTAAAGATAGCCTTGAACTGTGCAGCTGCAGCAGCAAAGTGCTGTCTGCCCGTCTGCTGCTGCTGCTGCTGCTGCTGCTGCTGTAATCAGCCCTGTGCCTGTTGGGAGCTGCGCCTCCAGAGAGAGAGAGAGGCAGACTGCCTCCCTGGAGAGCCTCTCTTTATATGCCTCAGTGGCTTCCCTCCCAGCAGACTCACCAGCGTCTAACTGGGGACATACTGGCACTTATCAATATTACCCCTCGTTCATAGGGGGGGAAATGCAAAACTACCAGGCTGATGCTCACTGAAAGCAAGTGCACCGAAATCTCTTGAACTGTGAGCACGCTGTCCTTAGCTTCAGAGACACTGGAAGCGTGCATTAGGATGACCTCGTACCATCCAGATTTGAAGCCAGGTTACCACCAGGGCTCCTCTGATCTGAAATCTTACATTCTTCTGAAAATCTTGTCTGAAGCCGAGGTTCAGTCGACCGAAGATGCCCAAACAAAAGCATGCTTCTCTTCCTCCAGCTCCTTATGCACACACTCAAACAAAAAAACACTCAGAACATGAATCAAGTGGTGAAATTGTAACCTCAGCCCCGGCATCTGTGCCGTACCCCAGGGACAAATAAGAGGGTCAAAGCCATCCTGAGAGAATCCATTCTTCCCCATGACATCTGCTGCAGTTATCCTCCGTGCAATGACAGCAGAACAATGTAGATGAAGATGAAACATATTTGAGAGCCTTGCTCTCTGCCTTCTCTCTCTCTGCCGGTGCTGCTCTGCCTCCATTCCACAGATTGCATGCAGTGAAAGTGGGTTTTTCAACTCTGCTTGGGATTAAGTGTGAGGAGACGTTGACAAAGTCTATTACGCCTTTGTAACTCATTGCCGGGGTAAGAGTTCTTTGGTAATACGACAAAGCACCTATGTGGCCCATGCCAAGCGGATCAGCGGCGGTGTTAAATGTATAGCTACCCTCTCTGTTGCAGAAAACGCCACCCAGGGCTGGACTGAGCAGCATCCTGATAGAAGGGTGTGACGCAGCGGAGAGACAAAGCTTAGCCGGTTACTCGTAAGCTGAACGCGTCTTGCGCTCGGAGTTCATCCCTGCAACTTTGATGTGCAGTGATTTAAGGGATTACAAGTCATTTCTCAGAGGATTTAGCGTTCGTTTTGCATTTATTTATTTATTTATTAGCATGTTGTTCGGTGATAATGGATCTGCTCGGCCGCTAACGAACAAAACGTCTTCGCAAGAAAGTCGGAGTTTGATGTGATTCAATTTCAGCCGGCCATGTTGGTGTAAAATTCTGCCAGAGGATTTTTTTTTTCTTTCTTTCTCCCCCCTCCGCCAGAGACAGTGATGCTCCATTCAAAGTCAAAAAGTGCTCTGGCAAGGACAACAGTTTTATCCCTGTCTTCATAACAAAACACAAATTCTACATAAATTCCCTCTCTAAGGGCTCTTTAACCCTTTTCCCCTTCCCCATGCTCAATTAGGTCTGCTTTTATTATTTATTTATTGTATATTTAAAGGCAACTAACACTGGGAAGTGTAATAAAATGTACAGTGGGGGGATTAGGAGCAGCTCTTTAATCTCACGCTTCTGATAATACTGCATGGGCTGATTGATTAGTTTTTCAGGAAGCTTATGTCAGAAAAACCTAATCCGTCTTTGGATTGTGCCAGCCTTGTAAGGTTTTCCGCGCTGCCACTTTATCATGGCGGCGAATTACAGAGCTGCTGGGCTGTGATAAGGTCCCCGTCTCTTTTACAGACCCCACCGCCCAACCCCCGGCACCCACACCCCCCTTTCCCTCTGGACAATAAAAAAAAAATTGTGTTTATATTCTTCACATCCCTGCTCTGCCTGGTCTTCACATCAACCTCTCCCAGGATTTGCCTTGTAAGAAAGAGGGAGGGAGAAAAAAAAAAAAGAGTGGAACTTAAGTCTTCAAAAAGCCACCAGAGAAATTGGGTGGAGAGAGGAGGGGGAAATATGAGAGGAAATGGCAGACCAGTGGAAATTCTATGGAAGTGATTAAACATGGATTGACAGAGTGAAGGGGGCCTTGTATGCATGCGCTGCCTTCCAGGAATCATTCTGGAGCTTACATGGTGCTGATGTGTATCTGTGCTCATATTGGGGTCACAATCTCTCCAGCCAGAAGGATTGACTAGATAATCCCTCATAAACAATACAGTCTGTGGCATTTGCAGTCCTCGGCCCGTGCCGTCGTCTCAGACCTCTGAAGGAAAGGTTGTCGTTGCTGCGGAGGGAAAACCCTTCAAATGCAGCCCGCGGCCGCTGCAGCTGCTGCTGACGGCGCTGAGCCCTGCAGCCTCTTCCTTTTCCAATCATCAATCATAATTGCGTGCGTACTGGCAATAAATCCATGATAAAGGTCCCGAAATGAAGAGAAAGATGCTCCGAGTGACGGATAGCTGTGACACCGTTGCCCTTTGCTTTGACAATAACCCTGATCTGGCGGCTGGATGGCCCATTAAGGACTTAAGTCAAACAATTATGAACGGCACGATTACTTTCCTGATTGCTGCTCGTGAACTGTTCAGGATGGAGGGAAGTGCTGAGCCTTCCTAGAGCGAGTCACGCCCCGTCTGGAGGTGCTAGTGCAGGAAATATTATTAATATGATGTTGAGTTTCCTGATCTTGGTCCACAGCTATGAATTTTTATGGGCGATGCGCAGCCCGAGGCGGTGTTTGATCTGGAGGCTCTGCTACCTTACAGCATTGTCATTACTGCTCCGCAGTGTCAGAAGCATTCAGCAGCAGCCTGTGATGCACAGCCGGGCTGTTTAGCAGCCCATTGTCTGCCGCTGCGCTGCAACAAAACAAAACGTGGCCATCAGGTCGTGTACAGCCAGTGTTTTGGTTGATGGAATACGATCTGCTGAATTTATTGTCTTTTTTTTTTTTCTTCTTTTCTTTTATTCCGTCAAATATTTTCATTCACAGACACAAAACTGTCATCACACAGAACCACGACGTGAACAGGCAAAGTTCCTGCGTCTGAACGCTTTGATATTTCCCCAAACACTCTGACACACAAAGTTCTTAATTACCACCCGGTTGGTTTCTTATAGAAGGCAATCACACGACATGTCAGAGCTCTGCAGAATGATTGACCTCTTTAATTAAAAGCGCATTCCTTTCCTGTAAAAGCCAAGGTGTGACAGCTTTAGAATAAGTACAATAAATCTCTTTTCTGATTATTCTCAGTTTTGCATTTCCTCCTCTGCCTCCGGGCTTTGAGGCCTTTCTTTCGCGGCTTGTCATTTCCAGCCCTAACAAAGCTCTGTCAGCTCCCCTCTGTCTTTGTATATTTCTTGTGAAGTACCTGTCTTCAGAGCTACTCAGAGAAAAAGGAAGCAGCGTCTTTCCAACTCTTGTTTCTTCTTCAAAGGGAGCTGTTTCTGTGAAATCAGCCGCTGCGCAATCTGCTTTGAGAATAGAAACATTTGCTCTGTCAAACTCAGCGGACGTATGTTTGAGCAAATCAAGCAGAAACGTTTCCTTTTTTTTATTATTTTTTTGAATAAAACACTCCTATCAATTTCTGCACAGATTTGACGAGAAGAAAACACAGAAT